GGTGGGCCTTATCCAATCAGTTGAAGGCCTTAGGTGAAAGACTTGTCCTTGTTGAACCCATAGCATTTTGAGATGATTGCTGTCTCTCCTGAGGTTGTTCTTCTGGCCTGAGACTTGGGTGGGTTGTGAAATTTGGGCCGTGGAGCTTCATTTTCTAATAATCTCAAAGGCTAGAATAAATCCTCTTTTATAGACAAAATGACATGGATTCCAAAATTTTAAAATAGGGATTGTATCCGCAGTCTTCATAATCCTCATTTTTCTGTATGTAAAAAATATATTAAAATTATATATCATATATAAATATATAATACAGCGGAACTTCAGTTCTTGAACTTAATTCATTCCAGAAAACTGTTCGAGAAGCAATTTGTTCGAAAACTGAATCTCCTTTGTCTTAGAGACATATGACTCATTATACAGGTATCAGCATGAAAGGGTTGTCTGGTAGAGAATCAAGATCAGGAGTTTTGTTAAGTAACTGAGACATTTTTTCCATGAACAATGTGATCAAGAAGCGAATTGTTTGAGAACCAAGACATTCTAGGACCATGGTGTGACTGTGTGTCATATATGTGATATTTCATGTTATATATGAAGTGATAGCCCTGGCTGGTGTAGCTCAGTGGATTGAGCATGGGTCTGTAAACCAAAGGGTCGCTGGTTCAATTACCAGTCAGGGCACATGCCTGGGTTGCAGGCCAGTTCCCAGCAGGAGACGCACGAGAGGCAACCACACACTGATGTTTCTCTCCCTCTCTTTCTCCCTCCCTTCCCTTCTCTCTAAAAATAAATAAATAAAAACGTAAACAACAACAAAAAAATAAAATGAGCATTTTATATATGTTATATAAACACAACTACTTCTATTGAGCTCATCTAGTGAATTTTTAATTTTATATATTGTGTTTTTACCCTCTAACATTTCTTTTTGCTTATTTTTTATAGTTTATTTTTACTCTGCTGAGAACTATATTTTCATTTATTTAAAGGTGTGGCTCAGTGGATTGAGTGCTGGCCTGCGAACCGAAGGGTGGCCTGTTCCATTTCTGGTCGGGGCACATGCCTGGGTTACTGGCCGGGGGCCCTGGTTGGGGGCGCGCGAGAGGCAGCTGATCCATGTTTCTCTCGCCCATTGATGTTTCTTTCCTTCTCTTTCTCCCTCCCCTCCCCTATCTCTAAAAATAAAGAAATAAAATCTTCAAATTTTTTAAATAAATAAATAAATAAATAGAGGGTGTGTTTACCTCACAGAGTATAATTATAACAGCTTTAAAGTCTGTTTGTTAATTTCAACATCTGAGTTATCTTGGATTTGGCCATCTGTGGTATGGTTTTTTTTCCCTTGGGAATCAGTCACATTTTCTCGATTCTTTGTATATCAAGTAATTTTGGATTGCATACTGGATATTTTGAATCTTATGTTGTAAGAATCTGGGCTCTGTTAAAGATCTCTGTTGGATGAATTTTTTTTTTAAGCAGACAATCAACCTGCTTTAAATAAGCCGTTAGCAATAACAGCTAACAAATAAGTTAGACTACAAGCTGTAACTTACATGTGCAGTGGTCCTAATGTCATTTCAAAGCCTTTGCTCTGATAATTCGGGCTTATCCCACATATGCTCTACTCAGGTATTAGTTTGAGTCGTGTTTTATATTATATAGTAGTTTAGTTCTCAAAGTTGTTACTATGTTGTTTTGGTTCTGTCCCGTGCATGCTCAGCTCAGAAGTGAGCCTGAAATTTGTGCTAGTTCATACGCAGAATTAATCCCTTCTCTAGCAGTCTCCTCTGTGTGATTCCTTCCACACTTCCAGCCTTCAGGAGCACGTTTTCTCAGTTGTTTGGCCAGACGTATAGGGTTCCTTGGAGGTTTCCTCCTTGTGCTAAGAAAGCTTTGCTGGCCATTTCTCCTCCGATCATTCTTGGGAGAAAGGTAGCTCAAATACTGACTGTATGGGTAACTCACCCCTGTATGACTCACTTCTTCGAGTTCTTCCTTCCCTTCTCAATCCACCTGATTTTGCTTATGTTTGAGAGCTTTCAGGTGGTTGTGTTTGTATGCACCGCCCCCCCCAAGACTGTAGTTCTACGTGGCATAGAGAGACTGTATGGATTTATTCCATCTTGGCTGGCACCAGAAATCAGCACACCCACAATATTCTATTAGTGAGAGTCTGAGAGTGGTAAGCTACCTCTTTGTAGGCCTGTAAATACCTCTATTTTGCCTTTATAATGGTAATTTACCTAGGTATAAAATGCTATGTTGCTAATAATTTCCCCTTTTCACTTTGAAAATACCATTCCACTATCTTCTGGCATCAGCTGTTGGCTGATGCAAAGTCCATTGGTAATTTAGTTTTCATTTTTTAGTGGTAATACCTTTTTTTTCTTTTGTGGCTTTTAAGATTCCTTTTATCAGCCCTGGCTGGTATGGCTCAGCGGATTGAGCGCCAGCTTGCACACCAAAGGGCCGTGAGTTCATTTCTCATTTTAGGGCACATGCCTGGGTTGTGGGCCAGGTTCCCACTTGGGGGCGTGCGAGAGGCAACTATACATTGATGTTTCTTTCCCCCTCTCTCTCACCCTCCTTTTCTCTAAAACTAAATAAATAAAGATCTTTAAAAAAAGATTCCCTTGCCCTGGCTGGTGTAGCTCAGTGGATTGAGCTCGGGCCTACGAACCAGACAATCGCGGTTTGATTCCCAGTCAGGGCACATGCCTGGGTTGCAGGCCGGTTCCCTGCAGGCCAGTTCCCAGCAGGGGATGCGCAAAGGGCAACCATACATTGACGTTGTCTCTCCCTTTCTCCTTCCTTCCCCTCTAAAGATAAATAAATTAAAAAAAAAAAGATTCCCTTTATCACTAATGTTTTGCAGTTTCACTCCAACGTGTCAAAAAACAATGTACCCAGAAACTTCCAGCTACTCCCTAGAGGGCAGTATTGTCCCTGTTGAGCCCAATAGCACCCCAGAGACAATTACTGTCTCTTCCACTGAGTTTACTGTTTGCCAAGAGACTGGGTGGGTTGTGAGATCTGGGCTGTAGATCTCCAGTTTCTCATCATCTTGAAGGTCAGACTAATCATTTTATAAACAAAATGACATGGGTTCCAAAATGTTAAAGTAGGGGTTGTACCCATGGTCTACATAATCTTCAATTCTGGGTTTATAGCCTATTTCTTTCATTGATTCACGGAAATTAGCTTTAAACTAAGGTATTGGCTAACTTCCTTCAGTTCTTTATTGCTTTGTATTTATTACTTTTAAGATATTTAAATATGTTTCGGAGCAACTTAAAACCACTTTAGGTCATTCATTGGATTCTTTGTATTCCTTCCTGCTTTCCTCCCTCCCTTCCTTCCTTCCACCAATTATCAGTTTATTTATTTAACATTAACAGAGTTGATATACCAGGTTCTATACTAGACCTGGGAACCAAGAGATAAATAAAACCCTTTTATTTACCTTGAGGAGGAGACTTTTTCCTCAAGGTTTCCTCAGCCTCTTTAATTCACTAATAATCCAGAAAAAAAAAACTAGTTTTATGACATTGAACAGAGTTTTAATGAGTATGTGAAGTTGTGCCAGAAAATTCTTTGACTCACATAACTTACTTAATCTCTTCCTTAGTGGGTATGATATTTTTGGTCAGGAGAACTTAACCCTTGTTACTTAAGCATCTATAAAACTTGTCCTGCACTTTCTGTTAAGTATATTACAGTAATATTTGTTGACCCATGTGCAGGGTGATTGTGAGAGATTTTATAGTATTTATTGTCAAGTCTCATTCAATAGAGAAAAAAATTTACTGAAAATAGAACTTTGGGGAAATGTTATTTGTCAGGTTGAATTATTTGTTCTATAACATCTTGTGTTAAACCTGAAGGTAAAAGGCAAGTATTAAAAATGACTCTGAGTATTTTTTATAAGTATTAATAACATTATTTAAAGTGGACACTTGGCCCTGCCTGGTGTAGCTTAGTAGATTGGCTTGTAAACCAAATGGTTGCTGGTTCGATTCCCAGTCAGAGCACATGCTGGGTTGTGGGCCTGGTCCCCAGCAGGGGGCATGCGAGAGGCAACCAGTTGATGTTTCTCTTGCACACTGATGTTTCTCTCCCTCTCTTTCTTCCTCCCTTCCCCTCTCTTAAAAAAAGGGATCTTTAAATTAGTCACATGTGCAGAGTTCCTTTAGCCATGTAAAAAGTTCAAAGGATTACTAGGTCATGGACATCTTGAGGGCGGGGCATTATTCTCTCTACCACAGTATGTGATGTTTTCACTTTTTATTTTTGTGTCTATATTTTGTAATTTTATATAATATGTATGTATTAGAACGCATAAGTTAAAAGTAGAAACATTTATAGTTTAATACTAAGTGACATGAAATATGGTCATTTTAAAACTTTTATCTGGCTCCATATGAAGCTTGAGTTTCACATCTGGTTATTTTCTTGGTTTTTATTTATACCAAATCAGAAAATTCAAATTCACAACTATGTGTTGCCAGAAATGGCAGCCAGTGTTTGGTAGCTGGGTTGGAGACCTTAGTATGTTGGATTGAACAAGGACCCATAAATTGAGAAGTCATTTCTTCCATTTTGTGTTGCCCCCAGACACTAAGTGGATGAAATCTCAAACTCAAATTCTGCAAGGAAGAATAATTCACCTCAGGAGAGTGGGTCTCACCGAGGGCGGTACCACCCAAGGGTGTGCTTGGAAAACACATCGGGCTATTTTGGCTGTTATAGTGATTGACAAGAATCCTCTGGCAAGAGTTTCCTGGCAGTGAATGGACAGGAGCCAAGAATGTCATATGCTCCTCAATGCATGTGACATTCTTACAAGGACAAACTTTCCTACATCTTACATAATTTTCAAATATCCTCTTAGACATTCACATATATGAAAAAACCTATCTGCAATTGTCTGAGCCTAACCCTGACCTCATTTGGCACTTAAACTCCAAATACTTTTTTTTCCCTAAAATGGATTTTTAAAAAATATGGAATGCTTTCACAAATTTGCATGTCATTCTAGTACAGGGGCCCTGCTCATTTCTCTGTATAATTCCAAGTTTAGCATATTGCTGCTGAAGTGGGCATACCTCAAAGTATTTTTTGCATGGTTTTAATATCCTGGAATTTTCCAGGAACAGAACTACTGTATAAATCGAAAGGAGTGTGTGTTATTTTGTTTGGAACTTTCCCAAGAATGGTTTAATGGTTTAGAAAATCACACCAATGACATCAACGCCATTTATGGGCTGTGCTGGATATCTTCCATTTGCCCTGCTAGATTCACTGCACCCTTCTCTACCTCCTCTGTGTCCTGGGAAGGGACCGTATCAACCGGTTGCTGCACCGTCCAGCTTTCTGGTGGGTCCACTCAGGGAATGTGAAAGGAGATGGGTGTATACTACTTGAAATGACCATCAGGTAATAGGTGTTGGTTTTTTTTATCCTCACCCAAGAATATGTTTACTGATTTGATAGAGAGAGGAACAGGGAGAGAGAGAGTGAGAGGAATGGGGATGAAGAGAGAGAGAGAGAAAGCATTGATTGGTCACCTCCCATATATACCCCAACCAAGGATCAAACCTGCAACCTTTTGGTGCATGGGATGACACCCCAACCCACTGAGCCACCCGGCCAGAGCAATAGGTGTTTTCTGATTTATGGAAATATAAATTGGATGTGACAACGGTATTCCATTAGAAAATAGTAATGCTGTGTGTGTGATTGAGTCCCAGCTAGTGAGAAGGCACAAGTAAATTGTATGAAGAAGTGCTTTAAACTCCCATGGTCGTAATTGTGACAAACTAAAAAAAAAAAAAAGTCTGCACATCCTTAGAATGTTCATCATTTTTTATGCCACGGCTGTAAGCTTTATTTTGCTTATATTAGGCTAATATTATTAAAGTCCTATAAAAAGATAGATATATTAGTCAAAGGGGAACCAACCATCTTAGGGAATACATAAAAGACAATACCATTAGCAATTTTATATAGAATTTTCATTTGAAAAAAACCCTTTCTCATATAATGGTTCCATTAATGATGGGAAAATAAAGGTGAAAAAATATTGAAGGAAAAACTTGCATGATTCTTGCTCTCTCCGATTTATTTATTTTTTCCTTAACCCACATTATGGCTTTCCACAGAGCTCTCTATGATTGGTTAAGAGAAAAACACAGGCCTGGTTTATGCACAGTTTGCTGGCACTGGGTAAAAGTGGGATGGCTCCTTTCTAGCCCCTGAAAGACAGTGGTGAAGGAAAATATTCCTAGGTGCAAAACTTTGAGCAGTGCATCTTATCATCCATTTCAAGTGGAAAGCGAGATGGCCTGTTTTCTCTCTAGGCATAATATGGTTGAGAGATGCAATCTGTCACAGCCCAGAGTGTGCCTGTTCTGTTTTGTATGCCAAGAATGCGAGGCCTTGGCCCTATTTACCTAGGCCATCATCTCTCAAGGCTGTATGCCTTGAGAGATGAGGCGCTATCTCCTGGGAGAGAGAGGAAGCTCACTATAAAAGACGCGAATCCCCCAAGGCCAGTATTCCTCAGCTGTGATGCAAACTTGCACTGGGTACATATTGTGTCCGCCTGGGCCGCCCCTCTGCATGGGCCCTGTGGGATTTACGGAACTGGAGAACCCATGCAAATGCCGATGATGCTTGTATTGCTCACTGTGCTGCTGGCATCCAGGGAATCGAAGCAGGCGAACTCGTATAGCTTGTAAGTAAGAGAAAATCCCACACCCTGACAAGTATTTGTTATACGCTTTGTAGTTGGTTTTACAAAGACTTTTGGATATTTTGTGACCCGTACCTGATTTTGCATTATGAGTAAAACTCAGAATTATTCCTCTGTAGTTTTGGTCCCTTAGGGGAAGTTTTTGCCATTTTTATGTTTGAATGATTCATTTTTTTCTTTATTCAGGAAAAACTCCACTGGCAGAGGTGTCATTGCACCATCTGTTGGAAAAAACAGGTTTTAATGACTCTGTGAAACTATTTGACAAGTGTGATAGCAAACAATACTAAGGACCCAGGGTGAGTGGATTGCCAATATAATAAATCAGAAATTCAAATATTCATTGTCAATTTTTTTCTATTCACACTAGATAGATAACATTATATGGCCGTTTTCCATTGTTTAGAGTTCCATGTTGCCTTTTTCCTTTTCACAGTAAGTTTTAATCTTCTTAGAGCTGTCTTTATTTCTCCTAGTTCTAAATAATGGAATTTCATCATTTGTTCTGGAAACCCATAGGCCCTCCTAACTGCTGATGTAGGAAATCTTAGCAATGGAATAAGATGATTTTCTCATTTCTTTTTTAAAAATTTAATCTTTACTATATACTTTTTCCATTACCATTTAGTCCCCTTATATCCTCCTCCACCCAGCAATCACCACACAGTTTTCTTGTTTCTTAAAATGTCCTTGAAAATGTTATGTCTAACAAAGGGGTCTTGTAAGACAGCCAGAAATCAGAACTTACGGCTTCTTTTGTGAACATACCTTGACCTTAAAAAGCCTGTGATCCTTTTTATTTGTATTACTTAATCATGTCTTTCCTGGGTAATGATACTTATTTTTTAAAAGATTTTATGTATTCATTTTTAGAGAGAGGGGAAGGGAGGGAGAAAGAGAGGGAGAGAAGCGTTCCTTCTGGAGGCTCCAGGAGAAAATTCATTTCCTTGACTTTTCTAGCTTCTGGGGGCTGCCTGTATTCCTTAGCTTGTGACTCCTTGCTCACATCACTCCAGCCTCTTGCTTTCATCCTGGGGGTCTCCTCCTACCTCCTTTGACTTTCTTACAGCTCTCTCTTAGGGACCCTTGTGGTTACATTTAAGACCCACCTGGATAATCCAGGATAATCTCCCAATCACTTGATCCTTAACATAATCTGCAAAGTCTCTTTTGTTGTATGATGGAACATTCATTGGTTGTGGGCATTAGGGTATAGATACCTTTTGGGGTCATTATTCAGGCTACCACAGGATACAGGATGGAAAGCACATCAGTGGTTGCCAGGGATCGGGGAGAGAGAAGGGTTGAGTTCATAATGGGTTGTACCAGGGTGGTGGCAGTGGATTCATGTCTCTACAATTGTCAAAACCCAAAGGATGGTACACCACTGAGAATGAATTTTACTGTATGCCAATTTAAAAACTCAACCTGGTTGTCAGTGATTCCAACATGGTATGCAGAGTGTGACAGATGATTCTAACTGTGTTTAAAACCATATGCCATAAGTTCACCGAAGAGGTAGGGAAACTGAAAAAGTGTTTTCAAGCTCATAGATACAAAGAACAGATCAGTGGTTGCTGGAGGCAGGGGTCGGAGGTGGGTGACATGGGTGAAGGGGGTCAAAGGTACAAACTTTCAGATATAAAATAAATGCCATGGGGATGTAATGTGCCCCATGGTGACTATAGTTAATGATACTGTATCTCACATTTGAAAGTTGCTAAGAGAGTAGATCTTAAAAGTTCTCATCACAAGGAAAAAATTTCTGTAACTGTATGGTGAAGGATGTTAACTAGACTTATTGTGATGCTAATTTTTGCAATATATACAAACTATCCAAAGCCATTATGTTGTACACCTAAAACTAATTTAATGTCATATGTCAATTCTACCTCAATAAAAAGAGAAAGTGCTTTGACTAAATAATGTAAGGCTAGTGACAAAATGAGCTGTACACAAATACTACACTCTAGTTGGTAGACACAGAAATATAGGTATGCATATATATGTGGGGTAGTATACTTAGGTATATTGCCTGGCTCTGACTGCTGAGATGGGCTAGAAGCAGTGACGCCGCAGCAGCAATGAGCACACATCCAGATCTTTGTTTCTAAGTACCATTCTCTAATAAATGGAGCCAGGGCTGAAAGAAATGGCTGATTCTGGGGTGGGGGCAGGGAAGAGACACGGAGCTTGCACATGGCCTCTCCAGACCCCTGCTGTGAGTCACCCGCTGTGACGTTTATTCTGATTTCCAGGCTCTTGCTATAGTGCGTCCTTCCCCTGTAATAAACTGTGTGTTTGAAAGCTTTGTCCTTTTGGGTCCTGTGAGTCCTGTTCAGCAACTGAACCTTGTAGAGGGGCCACTGTTCCTGCAGCTGTATATATTCCGTTCTTGTAGATGTTGCATGGGCAGGAGGGAAAAAAGGTGTATTGTTTAGTAAGCAAGATTTATTACTCATATTATTAAATGATCCTCCACCCTTCATATTTTGGCTTTATAAATTTCAATGTCACTGTGTAATGTCAAATTCCACTAATGTTCGGCATTTTTCATTTCTCTTAATTTGTATTTTTTATATACTTCCCCTTTTCTTTACCTTAACCTCGTTTTGTTTTGTGCTTCATTTAAATAATATGAAAATGAGATTTAAAATTTTTTAAGTACAGTTGACACACATACAATATTATATTTGTTCCAGGTGTAGAACATCGTGATTATATACCTTACAAAGTGACCACCACAATAAGTGTGGTACCCATCTGTCCCTGGACATAGTTATTGCAGTATTATTGACTCTATTCCCGATGCTGTACCTTACATCCCCATGACCTATTTTATAATTGGAAATTTGTACTTCTTAATCCCTTCCCCTTGTCTGCACAACACCCCTGTTCCCTCTGTTCTGGCAACCATCAGTTTGTTCTCTATATCTATGAGCTCGTTTCTGTTTTGTTTGTTCATTTGTTTTTCAGACTGCATATGTAAGTGAAAGCATATGGTATCTGTCTTTCTCTATCTGACTTATTTATTTTATTTTTGTTTTTGTTTTTTCTATCCAACTTATTTTACTTAACATAATACTCTCTAGGCCGTCCATGTTGTCCAAAATAGCAAAATTGAGTTCTTTTTAAATTTTTGAAGATATTTTTATTGATTTTAAGGAGAGAGAGAGAGATTGATGTGAGAAACATCGATTTGGTGTACAGGACAATGCTCTAGCCAACTGAGCCACACTGGCCAGGGCAAGGTTGAGTTCTTAATTTAATTCGTGAATCTTAATTTTTAATAAGGGAGTAGATTTCATTTATATTTATCATGACCACTAATACATTTGTTTCATTATT